GGGGAATGACCGGGGGGATTGACCGGGGGGAATGACCGGGGGGATTGACTGGGGGGAATGACCGGGGGGATTGACCGGGGGGAATGATCGGGGGCAATGATCGGGGGGAATGATCGGGGGCATATTGTGTATTTTTTCAGATGTGATCACTGCAGCATTCGGGGAAAATTAGATGAAATCAGAGATTTTGTATGATGGATTTACTCCACCACTGTCAGTGAGGCTGAGACGTCGCAAATTATAGTAATTCTGGCTAAGAGCGTGACGGAAACATGTCCTGGCTCTCAATGAGGAGGAATTAAATTAGGAAAAAGGCATATAATCCACATTACCCGTTTTTAACGTGTTTCAGTAGAATGGTGACGTGTAGAAGACGAGGTTAATGGGTTTCCTGAACTGGATCTAATGACAAGTATACAATGATCACCACCGTTATGGAAGCTTCTAAGACATTTTAAAGGCTTGAGGTAGATTTATAGGAACACCTGCAGTTTTTTACCCTAGACTTGATGGATATAATCAGTATAAATGCCACTTTAGTCATTTAATGTTTGTTTTTTGTAAATAGCCTCCCTTTTTCAGTCAGCGGCCAGCTATGTTTTGCAGAAAATGCCATTTTTTTTCCCCCTTGCAGCCATGACACCAAAGAGATCCTATTGCCAATGTGAACATTCTGGCAGCTTATTGCATGCAATATGGCGGTGTCATTAGGTCTCCTGGGACGTTCAGAAATACTTGCACATTTAAAGTGATGCCAATGTTATAGTGTTTACGTCTTCAACAGTAGTGCTGACCCTTTACTTTTCATGAAGGCAGATTCAGTGTACTGGTGTTGCCTATCTCGAGTACAGAACAGAATGTCTAGTCAAGTTTCCCTTTAAGGCCTTGTTCACACCAAGCACGTCCCAAGAGCAGAAGAGTTACAGACCGGATCAAAACTGCATCCAATGTATTCCAATGGTATTTTGGGCTCTAGTTCACACCGCAGCGTTCAGTTCCAGAGCATGTAAAAAAACTGCAGCAAGCGTATTTTACCTGCTCTGGAACGCATGCAAACGCATAAAAAACGCATGCAAATGCCCTGGAACACACTGAAAGCCCATTTTAAACAAAAAAAAAACAACTATATATTTTATTTTTTTTAACCAAAAACGGCCCGGAACGCATCAAAAACGCGGAAACAACGCGGCACAACCCACTGCGTGTGCAGAAACTCATGCAGATCTGGTCTGCATTTGGTGTGAACAAGCCCTAAAGACAATAGAGACACTGTCACGTTGCCCATTCAGGTCCAAGTGACAATGCCTGTTTGATGCCCCCCCCAACTTCTACTAGCCCCAGTTATGTTCCCTATATTCTTCATCCCTTCTGCCATAGAAAATACCTGGTGCGTGAGGTTATAGGAAAGCATGTGACCTCCTTCCATGTCGGGGTGCACAAAAATGCAGCCCTCCAGCTGTTCAGCTGTTGTGGAACTACAAATCCCATGAGGCATTGCAAGATTCTCACAGCCACAGGCATGTCATATTCATCATGGGATTTGTAGTTCACTACCGCTGCAGGGCCAGAGTTTGCCCACCCCTGTTCCATGTGTTAGTGCTTTGGGCAGTGTCAGATAATGGAGGGTTCAACCCTTCCAAAAGCCTGTGACACAGCCTTGAATTTCAGTGATGGCTTGATTGGAGGCAGATGGTGCAAGTGAGCAATGGTAAGGTGAGTATACCGGGGGGGGGGTCATTTACAAACACTCTGTCACTGTGCCCTGCATTGGCAAGGTGACGGTGTCTCTTTAAATAGAAGCTGTGACTTTGCCTATTTTGTGGCTCTAATGCCTAAGCACTACAACACTCAACAGGAGGAATCCCATTGTTTTCAATGGCCCCTGTTCACATCTTAGCGTTCTGTTCCTTGTAGAAAAATGCCTATAGATTGAAAACATACAAGAACTACTTTTGGAGCAGAGTCAAGCAATATGGGCCGAATGGACTTCAATGGGAGCACCTGAAAAACGTGGAAAAATGTATATTTTTTTTGCCTAAAATGCCTATTCCGATGACGGAGCGAACCGTGTAATGACTCGCCGTCCGGCTTGCCGATTGGTCGGGAAGCTGGCCAATCAGGAAGCCAGGCGGCCCGGCTTCCTGATTGACCAGAAAGCCGGCTCCATGCTTCCTCATCACCTGGTGACAAGGGAGCATGGAGCCAGCTTCCCAGCTAATCAGGAAGACAGGCGGTGAGTCATTACACGCCACCTGGCTTCCTTATGGGACTTCCAGTATCGGTATTCGATATTGCTGAGTACCGGGAAAAAAAATATCAGTACTCGATACCGAAGAAGCGGTATCGGTGCATACCTACCTAAAATAAAACACTCAGGCATAAAACATTTGCAAATATTGTTACAAAAAAAAACACCTGAAAAACAACCAAAGATGCTCAGCTAAACTGTGAATGTTGCCCAAGCTAAGTGGAAAGCATTCTCCTTAAGTGACCAACGGCCCCAGGTTTTGGATGCTCCCCAAGGTGATCCCGAGTACAAAGAAGGTATGTTAAAGGTTTGTGTTACAACAAACCATTTTCTGGTGACAACGGGGATGAAAGAAAACTCTGTATTGCTATAGGAAATCTTCATCTTTGTAATTTGCCTCAGTTATATTCCCAGGGCCGGATTTACTCTCTCTGCTGCCCCAATCCCAGGTTCCTCAATGCGCCCCCCTACCTGCCAGAGGGAGAATGGGAGACCTGCAGGCTGCATACAAGTGATCTCTGAGACATCGCCGGGATCACTTGTACAAAACAAGGGGCGGCTTCCAAGCTGTACATTTAGCTCTGCTTGCCCAAAGCAGGGCTAAATGAAAAAAACTACCCGTCCGGAACTGCATGTCCCAGGCATCAGGAGATAGGAATATCACACCCCTGCTGCCCCTCTACTCCCTGCTTCCCCAAGGTTGGGCTTGTGGGAAATCTGGCACTGTATATTCCCTCAAGTTTGTTGTATAATTGACCCTCTGCGCACCTTTCTGCTCACACTGACCATTTCTCATTGACATATTTATTATTATTTTATGAACAAAGCAAACATTTTAATACATATCCATTAGATAATGAGTCCAGGAGTTGTACCCTGCACACACAGTGTGAAGAAGAAGAAGTTAATTGTGCAGTAGGTGTCTCGTCTGGTCCTGCTATAATGGAGGGACAGCAGATGTTTCTGTTTCATTTCCAACACTAGTTTTCTTTTTGCACAAGGTAGACGTCTCGTTTTCCACTGCAAACCGTTTGACCCTGCCAGCCTCTGCGCTGGATACATCCGTGAAGTTCAGCTCGTAGGCCTCATTGCTGCTGACCTTCGAACAGCTGCTGCAGGAAAGGCACCAGTCTTTGACCCTCACAAAGTCCTTGTAGGTGTTCTCACTGGCAAAACAGTAGAGCATGGGATCCGCCACGCAGTTGAAGCTGGTGAGAAGAAGCGAGAAGTGGTAGGTGTTGAAAATTTTTGAAGCAAAGGAACAGGTTTTCTCAAAGAGACTCCGGACGACCACCAGGATGTGGTAGGGACCGAAGCAGATCAAGAAAATCATCACCGTGCTGAGGACCAGCTGCTTGATTTGGAGTTTCTTCCTGGACTGCGTGCCTTGGCTCTTTTGAACCACCTTAAATATTCTACAGTAAGAAAACAAGAGCAAGAAGATTGGGAAGAGGAAACCGGCAAAGAACCGATAATAATTAATGCTGTGCTCCCAGTTTTTGATGGGGTAATGTTCGAAACAGACTATATGGCTGTCTGGGTCCTTGCTGACCTCCCCATGCTCAAAGAAGATGTAACTGGTCAAAAGTTCCTTCACCCAAATGACCGCGCTGACTAAAATGGCCGCTTTCATCGTCCGCAGTTTGTGGAACCTGAAAGGATGCACTAAGGCCAGGTATCGGTCCATGGAGATGCAGCACAAGAAGGCAATGCTGATATATATGTTCTCGTAGAGGAGAATGCCGCAGATTTTGCACATGGTCTCGTTATAGGTCCAGTTGTCATGCTGGAGGACATATTGGAGCCAGAAGGGCAAGGAGAAGATGTAGAGGAGGTCAGCCAGGGTTAGGTTGACTAAGTATATTCCCAGTTCGTTCTTGGCTTTGATCTGCAGGTAACCGTAGTACAAGGACAAGCAGTTTGCCGGTAGACCAATGACGAGCACGGTCAAATACACGATGGGGAACAGTGTTTGGTGTATGGTGTGGTCAATTGTGCAATAGGTGACGTTAATATCGCCCTCTACCGTTCCGTTTCCCATGTCCTTGTGGTTCCAGTGTCATCTCTTACCTATTGCGGATCTCGGTGGATTATAATGTATTCCTGGGAACCTGGGCAGAGATGACAATGATTAATTTTGATGAGATAAAGTATTAAAAGGAATTCAGAATTCTTACATAGGTACATAGTTTGTAAGTTTTATAAAAAGGTGCAGGTCCATCTTGTTCAACATATATATATATGCATGCCTGTGTGTGTACATGTGGATGTGCTTAATGAACTCCATTTGTAATTATCTACGCACTGAGCTGATACTACTAACAGTGGAAGGGAGTTCCACATTTTTACTGCTCTGACAATAAAGAACCACAGTTTAAGATTAAACCACTGCTCGTCCAGCATTGTGGCCGCCTGTCTAAAAGGCTGGATTTAGCCCTGCTGAACTATAGAACACAGCCAAATTCCTCATCTCCATAACATAAGGGAGGGTAGTCCAGCAGGGGAGAGTAGGGTAGGACATATAACACTGCTTGGGATCTCAGCACAGCAGAGGTAGAGTTGTCAGCTTAAATAGAAAGTTAAATAAAGCAATATGTACAAACCCCTTAGGCCCCTTTCCCACGGGTTGATCATGGGGAGGGGATCCTTTCCTGATAGCAAGCAGTAGACATATGCAAAAACAAAACAAAAATTAAAAAAAGTTACCAAAAGGGTAAAAAACTTACCTCTGTCTCCGCTGATAACATGAAAGCCAGGGTTTAACATCTTCATCTCTTAATCAACAGGTAGTTGAAGAGGGAAAACATGAGCCCCCCCTCCCTCATAATGTGTGTCTGCTAGTCTAGTCACTGTTATAAAGGCAGCAGGAAATTTCAGGTCTCTGTCATCCTTCGATAGGAATGGATAAATTATTAGTTCAGACAATGAGCTCACGCGGTCACTGCGCCTTCTGCCAGGCAGTCCATTTATTCTGCAGCTCTGGCCCCAAACACATGTTTTTCCAGGGAAAATAGTTTCCGTGTTTGCAGAGGTCCAGTCATATTACAGATCAGCTGAGTCAGAGACTGGAGGGAGGAATATGTACATCCCATCCAACCTACAGAGATCCGAGAACTGAGGTGATAGCAGAGAAGACCGGAGCAGAGGGAAATAAAGGGAGGGAAATGTACAAGTCTGATCCAAAGTGATCCAATGTATGGCCAAAGTTTAGTTCAGGTTCCTCCAGTGAAGGAACGGTTAATCCTTCATCATACAAAGACATTGTACACAATTGTTCTCTTCCAGCCTTGTCGTAACAGTTTTGTGAAGACCCTTTTCTGTTCCCCCCATGACTGTCCCCTGTGTACAAAGCCAGCTCCATAAAGACATGGTGTGACCAGTTTGGGGAAGACCCGTTTCTGTTACACCATGACTGTCCCCTATGTACAAAGCCAGCTCCATAAAGACATGGTGTGACCAGTTTTGGGAAGACCCTTTTCTATTACACCATGACTGTCCTCTGTGTACAAAGCCAGCTCCATAAAGACATGGTGTGACCAGTTTGGTGAAGACCCGTTTCTGTTCCATCATGACTGTCCTCTGTGTACAAAGCCAGCTCCATAAAGACATGGTGTGACCAGTTTGGTGAAGACCCTTTTCTGTTCCACCATGACTGTCCCCTCTGTACAAAGCCAGCTCCATAAAGACACGGTGTGACCAGTTTGGTGAAGACCCTTTTCTGTTCCACCATGACTGTCCCCTGTGTACAAAGCCAACTCAATAAAGACATGGCTTGACCAGTTTGGTGAAGACCCTTTTCTGTTACACCATGACTGCCCCCTATGTACAAAGCCAGCTCCATAGAGACATGGTGTGACCAGTTTGGAGAAGACCCTTTTCTGTTCCACCATGACTGTCCCCATGTATAAAGCCAGCTCCATAAAGACATGGTTTGGTGTGGAGAAACTGGACTGTCCTGCACAGAGCCCTGAACTCAACACTACTGAACACCTTTGGGATGAATTTGAACGCTGACTATGAGCCAGGTCTCCTCAACCAACATCAATACCTGACCTCACAAATGGGCACAAATTCCTACCTTTTAAAATCTTGTGGAAAGAGTGGAGGCTGATATGGCCACAAAGGGAGGCCAACTCAATATTAATGGCTGGGGGACAAATCTACATTAATGGCCATAGGGGGTGGGAGCAGCCTTGTATCAATGGCCATGGTTTTGCTCATATCAGTGTGATGGTCAGGTGTTCACCAACCTTTTGGCCATATAGTGTATTTCATATGTGGAATGTGATGGGCCAAGTCACTCCCTGGTTTTCTATAGCTCTTGGAGCTCTCCCTGCCATATATTTTTTTGCTCCTGATTATCTTGAAGTCTGCTAAAATAGGGGTGTCCCAACGCCTCCTGCTGTGCTCCCAATATTGCATAACAAATTAGGACCCCAGCAGGGGAAGGTGGGACCCCCCATATAGGAAACAAATGAGTCCACAAGAGATATAGAAGCTGCCAGGTCGTTGAAGCATCCACCAAATTCTCTGATTCATCCATTTTGGGTGAACTGGACCTTTTCAGATCTAAGGAGTTCCCATATACAGTGCAGTCAGCTACCGCAGGTGGGCAGCATCCAACGTAGAACTGCCACAGTGCTGCATGCTGTGGAAAATGCAACCTGTAATGAAACAAAGTGCCTTTTGGGGCTCACAGTAACGCAGTATATCATATGACCAGCAAACAGAGATATTTATATGTATTTTTATTAAACAGAGTCCTCAGTCTCTTTTTCTACAGCCCCAGCACTGAATGAACAGAAGCACTCAGTACAAAGGCTTCCTGTTCATTCACAAACTGAGGAGGCATTGTACTCCCCTCAGTTATGAATAAACAGGAAGCCTCTGTACTGAGTGCTCCTGTTCATTCATAAACTGAGCACATAGTAAGTGATTACTATGTTCCCAATCATGAATGAACAGAAAGTGATGTGTAGCACTTCCTGTTCATTCATAACTAGGGACATAGTAAGCTTACTATGTCCTCAGTTATTTACAAACACCTAGTGATCACTGCAGTGTCTGCTCAGTACGCAGAAGGATCAGCAAACATTTGACATATTTGCTGATCCTCCATTCGGCATCCTGAACTCCGCCCGGTCCCCCACACAGCTCCTCTCTCCATCCTGACAGCCCCACTCGGCATCCTGACTCCTCCCGTCACTGCTCTCTGCTTCCCACTGGGCGCTGGCTGGATTGGTTCTGTGCTCCCTCCACTACAGGCGGCAGAGAGCAGTGGGGATCGGAGGGGACACAGACCACAGCATGCAGCCAGCTCCCAGTGGGGAGGAGAGAGCTGCAGAGCAACGGCAGCTTCCAACTTAAGCTTGGGCCCCATTGCGTCACGTATGGGAGGGCAGGCTGGCCACAGTGCCCCCAAAAAATTTGCACCCGGGGCAACTGCCTTCCTGAGCCCCCCCCCTCCTACGATGATGGCTGCATAACATTTCTCAGGTCGGGTTTGCTGATGGTAACAACTCTGGACCATGTCTGTATAATGTGTGTTGAAACGACCACTTGTAGTCTTCATCAGGTAGACGGGGACAGAGCGTTGTCACCCTATAACAGGAAGTTCCTGAACAAGGACCTGCATGGCAAGATTAGCAGGGATTATTTTAATGTAAGCTGCAGATTTTAAAATACTGGAAATGTATTTTGAACTGATATAAACATATGGAATTTTAGTGCCTGGGTTTACGTCTATTAGAAAGGCACAAAAAAAACCTGCATTATAATGCAAAGTGTGACTCCAGTATACATGAGCTGTCATGGATATCCAATTAGTGGTGTAAGGGGCCTTGTATCTCAAGTATGACGTGTTATTGAAGTGTAGAAAGGATCAGACAGTCCCAATGCTGCTGCTGATAATGATAACAACAGAACTCTTATATTCTGAATATATAATTGTGAATATATTATGTAACTGGCGAGTGTAGCCACCCCATGCCGGAATGCTGTTTTCCATTGTGCGGCGTGCACGGGGGGGGGGCTGCTCTTTTATATCGATAAATAGGTTACAAATCTGCACCCAGGGCCTGTTGGCTTTTCAGGAAAGTCTCTCTGGAGTTGTCAGCGGATCTGCCTGTCGCCCCCTGAGTGTCTGTAATGAGAGATTTCACAGTGCCGCTAATGTATGAGCGGTCAATACTCAGAGCTTCTTAACAGGCCGGGCATATCCTCCAAGAGAGGGGAACGTGACAATTAAGATAATGAACTACCTAGAGCCCGGAGAGCTGAGTACTATGAGACCCCAGGGCACAGCCACTCTGACTCCATAGGGTACCCTACAGAGTAACCATACAAGTCTCACTGCCAAATGTTAGTGAGTTCTCACCCTATGGAACCACAATGCAGGCCACAGACAGGACAGAAACTATCATACAGCTCACATCGCTCTGCGGTGCATCATCCATCCACAAGGCTTTCATATTGCCCTATAGTGCCACAGGCATAACAAAGGCTATTGTATAGCGCTCATGCCTCAGGTCACATTGCCCTATAGTGCCACAGGCGTAACAAAGGCAATTGTATATCACTCATGCCTCAGGTCACATTGGAACGTGACAATTAAGCTAATGAACTACCTAAAGCCCGGAGAGCTGAGTACTAAGAGACCCCAGGGCACTCTGACTCCATAGTGTACCCTACAGAGTAACCATACAAGTCTCACTGCCAAATGTTATCACCCTATCGAGCCACAATGCAGACCCAAAAGACACGCCACGGGTATTAGGCCATTTACCTAAACTGATGCCACAAGTCACATATCATAGTGCCACAGACATAAGATAGGCTATCTTCTAATACTTGTGCCTCAGGTCATAGTGCCCTATAGTGCCAGAGGCAATACAAAGGCTATTGTATAGCACTCAGGCCTCAGGTCACATTGCCCTATAGTGCCACAGGCATAACAAAGGCTATTGTATAGCGCTCATGCCTCAGGTCACATTGCCCTATAGTGCCACAGGCGTAACAAAGGCTATTGTATAGCACTCATGCCTCAGGTCACATTGGAACGTGACAATTAAGCTAATGAACTACCTAAAGCCCCGGAGAGCTGAGTAC